TCTGCCTTGGAGGTTTGGGAGCGACACGCAAATCAATGTTTCAGCAAAAATGCTTTTAATTTTGGCAATCTCGAGTCCCATATTGATACAAACATGCTTTATAGACATTTAGTGGAAAATTTTACTTTTCACGATTTAAGCTTACCATTGATACATGTCCGGCATTACATGGTTTTGTTATCCAAAGGAAGGGATAGTTATCCAATTTTCAGAGCTATTCTCCAGTACCAAGGGCAGAGAATTTGATAACAAAATAGGAAAATATTCAAATGCTGCACCCATGTCCGTACCTCCCTCTCTGTCCACACATTGATACTTGTACTAACAAGCAGCAGAGGCACCTCGGGATTTATTCGAAGAAACGAAATAAGCGTTTCATTTTTCTGTCCCTCTTTTGATATATCATCGTGGTCTCGCTGCATAGTTACCGCGCTACGGTTAAGAAGAGCCACGGATTTCATCTACACCTTTCCAGTGGTTTGACCTAAGAGGGGATCATTATACTAGGTCGCTGACCATAACTAGGAAAAGACTAAGGCCTAATTTGGTTTTAAGTGGGACTCAAGACTGCACCGGAGCGCACTTGGATAGCACCCCACGCAGCTTAACTGCTTGCCGCTATTAAAAAAAGAAAGCTCTAGGAAGCTTCATCATCATTATCATCATCATCATCATCATCATCATCATCATCATCATCATCATCGTCATCGTCATCGTCATCGTCATCGTCATCGTCATCGTCATCGTCGACATCATCAATGTCATCATTATCGTTATCATCACCATTATTATGATTATTTTATTTATTTATTCTAAGCGGAAAAACTACAAAAAATTCAACGGGCAAATGCGTCAGCTATACGTGTATGCTGCAAATAGGCCAACTCTAAATTGCGGAAGTGCGCTTGTCATAAACGTTGTATTTGATCAAAAACTAGAATTTCCATTCCTCAAATAAATTTTATATTTGGCGAACAATGGTAGAAGTCTTAGATGTATCGGTAACAAGGCTTCTTGAGAGATACTCGCTGTAGTTGTTCTTGTGGTGCATTCTAGGTGTTACTTGTCTGGAAATAACAAAGGAAATACAAGTCAAAGCCATATTTTTTAAAAAAGTAGCGAACTCGATCAGACATCCACTCTTGTGAATAACGCCGCGTATTACAGCGCGCAGCTGTTACCTTAGGAAGAAGACGTGTTATATGAACCTAAGGTTAACACTATCCGTTTTTTAAACAACCTCTTTTATTTCGGTTTAGTACCGGATTGTTCCCGCCTCGGGTTGTTTGGTTATACGATTTAAAACTATTATTTAGAATGCTGCAGAGGACTCTCTCCCACTCATTTGCGTTCTGGAAGATTTGACCTCCGTTAGAACAAAGGCATGCTTAGAACAGACACACTGAGTTCTGCAAAGCTGATCGTACTACGTGCTTGAAAAATTAACTTTGCAAGGCATCAACATGACACTGAAAGAACCAAAAACAGGGAAGGATCGTTAGAATAACTGGCGTTCTCCTACTGACTGGTAGGTTCGAAGATTTTTACGACGAATTTGAAACGACAACAAACAACAAACTCTGATTGTTTCTACGTCATTCGGAAAATTTAATAGCTCATGACGTGACATGGTGTCAGATTTTATGACGGATAGTATTACAAATGCAGCTACGTGGGCGTATGAAGCGTCAGTCTTCATTCCATGGTTGAAAGCATTTCAAGGTTTGTTTATGATTGATGAAGTATAGCCTACTAAAAACTTCTTCATAAGCCTAGTCGCTACTTGGAAACCACTTTTTCAGAGGTAACAATAGAATAGACTATGTGGGATGGCACTATTCTACCCAGGGCGTTGAAATCAGTGAAATGAATGGTTATTTCATTGCCAAAGTGAATAATTATGTTCATTATTTTGACTGTTCCAGGTGTACAGAAGAATTTACTTTATCTACTGATGTAAACCGCGCTTGACGAATTAATTTGCCGAAGGAACCTGTAGAGACTATGTTGTTAGACACCCGGTGAGAGCCTATCACCGATTTAAACTACGCAAGTAATTTTAATTCGGGTAAGTAAGTGCATGTCGTGAATTTGGACAACTCTGACAAGCGGGGCTTTAGATTTCTAGGGAATCAGCTTCTTTGCTGATTCCAACGTTGCGTTTATTTACATTAAATTTTGACTTAATGTGAGGTCGTCTTTTAGCAAAATGGATCGATGTGAAATCGCAATCGAGAGAAGTGAAAGTGGATGGTAAAATTTGTAAATAATGCTGCTCTTCTTGAAGAAATTCATAAGGCTAGTAAGTTCAAATACCTATTCTTTCGAGCTATGCTTTAAGACCATTTGAATAGACATTTAAATGCTGCTCTTCTCCGAAAGTGAAACAGGAATTTCAATTGGGTTCCGCGTAAAATATCACAGCAGATATGATTTTCTTTCTTGCCTGTATTCATGTGGTTTTGAGACTCTCGATGGTGTCTTTACTACTAGTAAAGCACGAGTTCCAAACAAGATATGTAATTATGACGAATTACATTCAACGCTTTAATTTTGTTCATAAGCAGCAATGCAAGAATTTTGGAGGGGAACAAAAAACGTACAAAGAGGTGTGGTATTAAATTTGGTTGACATTTCTAACGATTTCCTTATTTTTGTAGATTTAAAAATCACTGAAACAAGTTTTATTACTATTCAGAGCCCGTTTATTACTTTTTAATAAACATTCAGGGTTCGCAGTCTCCTTGCCACACGTGCAGGTGAACACTTTTCTCTTTCTGAACTTGGAAATGGTCCTAAGGAAATCTGTCCCAGGAGAGTTCGCCTAAATTTTTCAAAGAGAGTGAGGTGGAGTAATCGCGATGAAGTTTCGAAGAACGTGAGGTCATTCGATGTATTCGCACCGTAGCCGTTATGGTATCTCTACCTCCCTAACAACAACGCTTGAAAACAATGTTTATATTCTCTTTGGCCCAGGGGCCCCACTCACATGTTTTAATGACGGGGGGGTCCGACAGAGGTTCATATTTTAGACCCAAAAAAATCCCAACTTCAGAATTTGTCTACCCAAAAAAATCCCTACTTTTTTTAGCATACCCCAAAAAATCCCTCAGTGTTTTTGCATCAGCAAATTTTATTATTTATCTTCTGAAATAACTGAGTCAGCGACACATCTTTGTATGGGTTCATAAACCACGTTGGCAAGCTTGATGTTATGTTACTATTATTTTCAAGAGAACTTCTTCATCCAACAAAAATGGGATCACAACTGACTGTCAGTTTTCCTTCCCTTTATTTTTACATAGCAGTGTGATCATTTGATAATAGATATATATCAGCGGGTAAACATCTAATTCATAAAATGTTTACTTTGTATACAGTGTTTCCATTGTGGTCTTGATGACTGGCTTGAAAGGCCTTGAATTACGTGACCTATTGAATATTTCTTTGTGGATTAGATGCGCGTGGAGTGCCGGTAATCACTTTTCAAATAGATTACAATCTCAGAAATATCCCGTAATACCACACAAGCAGTAAATTGCGCTTATGTTATTGTTGATTTGAGCTGATGAAAAATACAATACCCAAAAAAATCCCTGTGTTGTTTTCGCGACCCAAAAAAATCCCGGCGTCTTTCACAGACCTAAAAAAAATCCCCTTTGGCCAAAATGTCATACCCAAAAAAATCCCTCGGACCCCCCCCGTCATTAAAATATGTGAGTGGGGCCCCTGGGCTCTTTGGAGAATAATGAAGTAATGTTTAAAACACGAACAGCAGTGATTTATCACTGGTTAAAAATTCGAGCGCGAAGCGAAGCCCTTCACTTGCTCAAGGCAGAAGAATAATCGCACTAATATTTTCAAAAACTGCTTGTCTTTCGATGGCAACTGTTGCGAATGTAGGGGGTTTACGAGCAACTCGCTCGCTGAGCGTAGAGGTACCAGGTATCTGAGTTTACATCTTGTTGTTCTGTAATCTTTACAGGAGCTCTTATGTCTTGTTTACAGCATCCCTTAACGAATTCTGCTCGACAACTAACTGTAACTAATCTCAACTACTCTCTCCTTCGTGCTAAAAAAGGGCAACTTATATAAGTAAAACGTAGGTACGTTTAGGCTTGCTGACCATGAGAGTTACAAACGCTTTTCCGAGTGACTTAAACGAATTTCCTGTTAATAACCAAAGTGGAATAAACAAACCCATAAGAAAACCAATGAAAGCGTGACAGCTAAACCCACGAGACTCTATCCTAAACCAAAACAGGTACTCTGATGTAGGGAACAATCAAGGTCAGCGACGGTTCCAAAACGTGCTCACTTCAAGGACTGACACTCAAATTTAATAAATGACATTCATGTTGAAAAACTACTTTAAAAGGCAATAGAATTTAAAAACCTGTCGACACAAATACAGATTAACCTTGATCTATAAACTGATAATAACAAGACTTTAGTCACGAGTGAAACGTCAGGTACAAACACGAAATAAACTTAAAATAACCTACATTATACTACTACATGAGAAATTTCTGCAATTTGATTGGCTTAGAGCAGTGGTATTTCAGTTCAATGTGAAATACCTACATGTGAAAATTACAAACCTTTTGCGGGTAGTAGTATAAACAAATAATAGCATGATTTGTACGTGATATTTGGCATAAATACCACTTGTGATATTTCAAAATTGTCTCAAATTTCACTCGCCTAATGGCTCGTGAAATTACGTATAACAATTTTGAAATATCACTCGTGGTATTTATGCCAAATATCACTACAAATCATGCTATTACCTATACAAATACTTCACAACACGAAGATTTCTTCCAGTTAGGCATTTTGAAGTTGCCAAGAGCTCTTCCTTTTGTCTCGGTTTCTCCATTTTTTTTTACGTTTTACAGACAAATATAATACCCTGAAATTACCATAATTTGCAGGCAGGAAAAGACAATATGGTTGGTTTTTAAAAAAATCTCCCTTCATTCATGGCGAGCACTCTAGTCATGCCCTCAAAAGAAAGTGGCGTCACAGCAGTCGCTGAAGAAACACTGCAGTTTAATGATGATGATTTAAGAGGTGAGGAAAAATATTCGTTTTTTGTAATATATTGTATAACGACGATTGAAAAGAAATTGCAGTCGATAATTTTTAAACATATTTTGGTAGGTGTGGTTTCTGAATTGAGTTTCGTGTGAAAAAACGGTCCCAGAACTATTAATAATAAACATTTTTCATTATGTTGTAGCAATTGCAGAAGTTTACAAAAATGAAGGAAATGAAGAGTTTAGAAAGAAGGATTATAACAACGCCATTTACTTCTACACCGAAGGTATTAAAGTGAACTGTAAGGATAAAGAACTGAATGCCATGCTGTACAGCAACAGAGCAGCGGCACATTTCAATTGGGGTAAGAAGTTAGTTTAATTTGACTTTGAAAATCATAGTAGCGATGAACGTAGTGAAGGGGCATTAACCGTTTAAGTCTCAGTATCCACATTCAAATTCTCTAGACTGATCTCCATACATTTCCTTAAAGGATTAGTTGTGAGAATTCGTTAAAAGATCGAGGCATTTAACCTTCCTCCGTTGCGTCTTTAACAGGAAAATACACTGAAACACTGAATGATGTAGAACTTGCCATTGGATTACAACCATCCCTATCAAAAGCTTTTTTACATGGTAAGATTATGAGTTCAATTGATAGTCCAGTATGGAAAAAGTGTCGGATATGCTAAGTTTACAGTTGAAGCGAATGACGTCGGTCAACGCACTGTGACCGTTTAGAGGTTTGCTATGGTGAAACATTGTGACTGGATACGAAACCATGCTAAATATTTCTCGTGATCGGGTAGTCCTTTTTCCTTCTTTCATGTAATTCAAAGGGGACGCAAAAAAAAGGTTCTATTCAAGAAGGAGACGTTTCCTCAGTTGTATGACCTACTAATTTCTCTTGGATGAAGTTACAATAAAGCAATTATTAGACTCATAGCAGCAGCCAATACGTTTTCTAAGCTGACGTGCAAGCTCAATGAAAATGTATGTTGAAAAAAGGACATAACCGATATCAGACTATGTTTTAAAGAAGCTGGCGGGGTAAGACCGTCGGGGTACAAGAACTCAAATCAAGACGTGCTCTTCTTCATACTCTTCACTACTTCCATATCCATTCAGTTAAAAACATTCATTGTTTTACGTAAATGGAATATGATTGTTTGGTTGAGCGTGTTCCAGAAAAGGACTGTTGTTGGCCTTTGGACAGACCTTGCCGTAATCATCTTCAGAGCCCAAATGACTTATTGATGAACAAGCAAAATTGGTATATTACTAGACTTTCTCTCAACTAAACGGGGACTGCCATTGGTTGATTCTTGGTCACATGGCCTTAACTAAAATCAAATGTATCCCGATCGTGATATATTTGCGCAATGGTACCTCGCTCGGGATACATTACAGCACGTGATCAAAGCATGGTGGAAAGTGGCCCGACAGAAGGCGGAAAAACATTGCCAGTTTTCCTTTTCTCGGGAAACAAAACTAACTGTTTCCCTCGGGATCTGACATTAAGTGTATATTAAAACGACCACAACAGTGACTGGAGAAGCCGACAATTTGACTAAAAATAACACGACTGCTACTACAATGACAAAACCTGGATCGAAACGCAGCACTCACATTTCAAGCCTTTACGGCCAATTACGACCCGAATTACTTGACGGCTTAAACTGACAGATGTTACGACTTGATTGACCGATTAGGTCAATAACCGGACTTTCACACTATCAACTGACATAATGACCACTGCACAGGTTGTCGAAACGTCAGTCACTGTCAATAACAGTTCTGTTCAGAACTACGGTCACTCGGGCAATCATATTACACCTACTTATAACATGCTCATGAGTTTATGTTACCTATAGTTTTTTGCTTTAGGCGATAACACAAAACGAGGCGGTTAACTCCATTTTTTTATTCCTGAGTTTCATTTAGCATGGTTTAAGTTACCTTTTACCTTAATATACGAGAATTCTGTTCAGAGGGGTTGAAGCCACAAATAAATGTGATGATTGACAACAAATGTAATAAAGCTCTTAAATGTAAAGCAAATTGACCTCAAACGTAATAAAACCCTCGAATGCCATGAAAACCGTATATAATCGAGAGAGCGCCGCCCTCAAGTTAAGTGGGACACAAACAAGCGCCGCGGCGCTCTTTCGAAAAGGCAATATATTATTGCGTTTAATCGTACAGCGCCGTGCTCAAATAACTTTTGAAGACCAAAAACAATAAGCGCCGAGGTACTTTTCCGAAAAATACAATAATCTACTGCTGCATTTAACCGAAAGGGCGCCGCCCTTGAAGTAGTGCCTTCCTCAGGTAACAGTCGCTCAATAAAAACAAGTTTCTATTGCACACAACCCATTCAAGCTAGAGTGTTGCATGTCCCAGCAATGCGGTAATGTGCAATGCCCTTAGAGTACGTGACACTCCCAATAAATAAGTGAGACACTTATTCGAGGGCGGCCCCCTTTTGGGCTTTATTACGTTTGTGATCAATTATTACATTTGTGGCTTCAACACATGGGGTCAGAGCCAATAACAGGTTTTCAAAACGTTAAGGTGGCTCTCATCCCTCCTAACAGAAAAGTGAAAGTCTTTAATATTGTGAGAGCCATAGTGAACCACCTTTAAAAGAGTAGATTACCTCAGGAGCCATGTGGTCACCTAAAAAGTTTTAACTTGTAGAGGCTTTTATTGGATATACTGTACCAAATGCAACCCAAATGTAAACTTATATTCACTTTATTTCGTTTTATGTTGGCCCAGTTGTGTCACAGTGAAACAGTTGTACTTTTGCTTTTAGGAGCAAGAGCCTACGTTCGTTTGAATCAGTTAAACGAAGCCATCAAGTGGTGTGATAAGGGATTAGCGGTATCCTTTATTGTTGTTGATAATATTTATATAAATATGCAAAAATTACTTTGAAACTGTACGTTGTGGAGGATAAAATGCTTCAACCAGCTTCAAATATTTCGAGTAAAGAGTGTACTTCGTGCTGGAGAAGAGTACTATTTTTCACTATTAGACTTGTTCATAGGGAATGATGGATGGGCAGAAACACTTATCACAATTTGGAACATCAGGCATAACAGCTCACTTCGGAAAAGAGTGATAACGTGGGACCCAAACTAAGTGTGCGCTCATTTATGGGATTGTTTGGGGGACAAGTCAAGTAGCCACCTTGAATTTATATGACGAGACAATATATTTTGTAATGTTTTGTTAGTTTCACAAGAGTATGTATATTAGGTTGCATAATACTGCTAAAGTATTTAAGGCGTGCTTGTAAGGTGTCCCAAGGGGCTAGTACACTATTTAAGGTTTGTTAAGTTATGCAAGAGACATTCGAGGCATCTCTTTCAACCTTAGTTTTTTTATGCCATGTCGGGTTCTGAAACAGCGAGCGTCCCTCACGCGTCTTTCGAAACTAACAACACCGGAGACTCTGCTCAACCGAGTGATCTTTCCTCGGATACGTCCTTATCAAACGCTGAAACTTTGCAGTTATTTTCCCAACTTTTGGACGTCAAATTTGATCAAAAGTTCGCCGCCTTTAAGCGCGATCTCCAGGACAAAGAAGCTACCACACAATCGCAGCTTAAGAAGCTGAAAACCGAATCGAAAGCGTCAAATTCCTTTACTTTCAAGGGAAACAAAGTACAGTACGAACTTAACATCACTTTGCACGACTTAGTGGACGGTGCCATTAAGAACATCTCAAAACGAAACCTTTCAGCAGCGATTTCCGAACTTGAATCGGTAAAGACACTTACTACAAAACGAAACAAGCTTATTCGCTTTGCGGATAAGAGTCCTGCGGGCTGGACAGCCGTTAAAGAGTACGAATCAGATGAGTTGGCAGAGGATTCTGAGGATGGAAAGAGGCTTCGTTCAGCAGAAAGACGGGCATGGCCAAGATCCGCGAGAAGAAACGTAGGAATTCGTCTGCCCGACCTAGCTATACTAGTACCCGTCAGCCATCGAGTGAAGTTTCTTCCGCTGGACCTTCCAATACTCTTCCTGTTAATCAGCAGCTTTTTCGTGGGCAGTCCTTTCGCGAGCGTCGACCTCAGCCTTCGGACAAGTGCTTCAGTTGCGGACAGAGAGGTCATTGGGCAAATTCAACTTCCTGCCCCAGCCGCCTTAGAGGAACCGTTGCAGTCCCTTCAAGCAGCAAGGCGGCAAACTGACGACAAACATAAAGTTGCATTACAGAGATTAGGGAAAGATGAGTATAATTCACTGAATTTGGTTACATGTTTAAATGACTTTGATCCAGTGGAACTTGTCGAGAACTCTGTTGATGCGTCTGATTTATCTAGTGATGTAATAAGTCCCGAATATCAGGAGGGAGTTCCGATCGTTAAAGTTAAAGGTAGTCTTAAGCGCAATTTAACCTTTTGGGAGCATATAGGTGCTTCTCGTTTCATTCACGATACTATTGTATATGGGTATAAGATCCCCTTTATTTACACTCCACCCGCAGCGAGCTTTGGCAATAATCGAACTGCCATTCAGCGTAGTGAATTTGTGGAACAAGCTATTTCTGATCTTCTTATAGCAGGCTCAGTGGTTGAATGTGGGTGTGCCCCTACTGTGGTTAACCCCCTATCCGTTTCCATTCAGGCTAAATCCGAATCAATTTGTTAAGAAATCCAAGATTAAATTCGAGGACGCGAAAACCATGCTTTATTCCTTTATCGATTGTTCTCAGAATTGGCTATTTTCCTTAGATACCAAATCTGGTTATCATCATATTGACATTTTTCCCCCAGACCAAGAGTTTTTAGGCTTTTCTTGGTCTAAGGATGGGGTTATTCGATTTTATAAATTTACCGTTTTGCCTTTCGGTATTTCTACCGGGCCTTATATTTTGAAAAAAGTTCTGAGGCCCTTAATACGTTATTGGCGTCTCCAGGCTATTAGAATTGTTGTATATATGGATGATGGCCTAGGCGTATGTCCAACATTTCCTGACTGTTATTCCCAGTCTATGGCTGTGAAATCAGATTTGTCCCAAGCGGGCTTTGTAGCTAAGAGTGTTAAAATCATATTGGTCCCAGCTCAGTCTCTGGGATGGTTGGGCTATTAATGGGATTTAAAGCATAATTTGTTATCTATTCCTGTGGAAAAAATCGACAGGCTGCTAGCGAGTATTGACATTGTGCTCCTTCAAAGTAGATTACCATCCAGGCAACTGGCCTCTGTCACCGGAAGTATTATTTCTAATATGCTCGTTTTTGGCCATGTGTGTAAGCTGATGACCAAAAGCCTACACAGGGCTCTCGATCGCAGGCAAGGGTGAGATTCCTGTGTTGAATTAGACCCATGCGCTCGCAAAGAGTTAGAGTTTTGGAAGAATAACGTTTCTAACCTGAATTCTAGATCGTTTCTCAATACTGTTCGTAAGCCATCTCGCATTGTCTATTCAGATGCTAGTGCTACTGGCTGTGCTGCCTTTATTGCAATTGATGATATGCCTGTCTCGCATATTAACTGGGATTCATTACAGATGAACCAGAGCTCTACCTGGAGAGAACTTTACTTTGTCAGTTTTGCTCTGAAAAGTTTTGCACACCTCCTCTCAGGCTGCGATGTTAAGTGATTTAATGACAACCAAGCAGTTCCTTCGATTGTTCATTCTGGTAGAATGAAAGAGCATTTGCATATCTTGGCGCTCGACATATTTCAGACCGCCAAAGATAATATGATTGACATTGAGGTTGAGTGGATACCTCTTACTCAGAATGAGAGAGCAGATTATTTGAGTAAGATTGTTGATTATTATGACTGGACAGTCAAAGATTGCTATTTTCATGCTGTTACCACTGTTAGACTGTTTTGCTAGCTACAAAAATCGCAGGGTTCCCAGGTTCTATTCCAAGTACTTTAATCTAGATTCCTTAGGTGTCGATTCGCTCGCCTTTAGTTGGGTCGGCGAAACATGTTGGCTTGTGCCCCCTGTTTCGCTAGTTAAGAAGGTCATCATTCACGTCTGTTTGTGTCGTTGTCGGGGAATTTTGGTAGTTCCTTATTGGCCGTCAGCCCATTACTGGCTCCTTTTGGTGGAACGCGGGGGTGTTTTCAAGTCATTTTTTGCAGATTGTCTCTACGTTGAGAATGGTAAGGATGTTTTTTTCTCCATGGGGGGAACAAGAGCTCCCTTTTTGGATCAGAGAATTTTAGTACCCCAGTGCTTTTTCTGTTGCTCTACGGGGCTGTACGGGAATCTCTGTAGGTTGCTGTGGAGTTGTACGCCGCTTGGCCGCTGGATACATATATTTTATAACCGTTTCGGTGTGATTAAAATGTAATGCAAGTTGTTGTGTTTTTGGTGCACAAATAACTTTAGGAACGTTCCATTCCATGCGTACTTACCTTTGTACGAGCTGCGTTTTCTTTCCGGTTGTTTTGGCTCCACGGCAAAGAAGCCATCCCTGAAGCTGTTTCACCGTGCATTCTCGTTTTTCTCGAGGTAAAATTTTCCCAGGTACATCTTTTGCCTCCAGCTTCACATTTTCATGTTTTTTTCTTTCAATTCCACCTTCCGTTTTGCTATTTTGAGCTTTTTAAACCCCGCTGAAACATTCCACTTCGCTTTCCGCCATGTTTGTTTACATTCGCGTCCCCCCAAATAATCCCATAAATGCGCGCGCACCTAGTTTGGGTCCCAGGCTATCACTCTTTTCCGAAGAGAGCTATGCTGGCACAATAGTCATACTTTTTTAGCATAAACGCATGTTATATTCAAGTGTTTATTCTCCATTTATTTGCCACGTAAAAGAAGTGAAAATACATTGCAATGCTAAAAACTATGTGCTTACTTTCCAGCCAACGCCAGCTAGAGTACATAAGTTGATAAAAGTGTAGAATATTTTAGAAAAACCTCGGACGACCCTAAACACTTGTGCTTTCTGCATTTTGGAATAGTCGAAAGCCTTATTTCTCCGTATACCAGATTCCAAGGTACTAATATGTTCCCCTAGTAAAGAATTTTATTCTGGGTCTGATAATATGGCTGGTTCCCCGAGCAGATGATGTGCGCCTCGCTCCCCAAAAACAAATAAACAAGCTAAAACTTAACAATCATACGTCTCGAGAACATTCAAAACAAAGAAAACCAAGATGTGTTTCTTGAATTTATTTTTCAACAAAAACCGACAGATTCAAATATTAAAACACAAAGCGTTATCAGAACATTGAAGCAGTTTTGTCTGAAAGTGAAAGGAAACAGAGAACTCAATAACAGATATTCTCGAAGATGAACTGAGTTTGCTTTTGAGTAAATTTTTTAATTGAGTTGTAAAATTGTTTTATTGTATCCTACGCGTTACGTGTGACTAGCGCAAACTTCACGAGGGAGTTTTACAATACAACTAAGAGTACCTGTAAATATACCTAAAAGCGAACTGAGTTTTACATTGGACACAAAACACCTACGGATTTGTGTAAAGGAACTGCAAACCTCGTGGTTATACGTATAGGAAACAGGCGGAAAAATGTTTTGCAAGGTGTGAAATATTTGCTATGTTTTGGGGTCCACAGTTTTATCAGTTATTTTTTTTTGCCCCCCAAAAAATACATATGCATACAAACATTCACTATATTACAAAAATGTTACTTAAAGATTAAAGAGACGTAAGCTCTTTGATGAAGCTCAAACAGAAACCTTGGGGCTTATTACATGAGCTTGCTCCCTACCCTAAGACTAAATATCATGTTTGAATAAATAAGCGGCAAAATCATACTGATATATAATTAGGATAAAAAGCAAGGGGAAAAAAACGGACGAAACAGACAAAAAGCAGCAAAAAACAAGTATTATTTACAAATGGTTAATCAACTAAGCAGAAATGTTTTTAATCTGGATTTAAAAAGAGAGATAGTAGTGGCACTTTGTATATTGTTATTTAGTGAGTTGAAAAATTTAGGACCCCGAAACCTTATACCAAAAACTCTTATATTTGTTTGTGCAGGAAATAAGTACAAAGTATTTGAATTTCTGGTATTATAGGAGTGATCTTGATTAGTCATTAAAAACATTTTTGGAATACATTAGGGAGCGGGCCTATTTTATAAGAATACATAAACTTTCAAACTTGAAAAAAGTAAATTTCAGATAATTTCAGTATTTGCAAACTTTTGAATATAGGATCAGTCTGAGCATCAAATGGCTTCTTGGAAATAATTCGACGAATAATTTTTTTCTGAAGTAAGACTATACGATTCAGGTTTGTGGGATAAGTCGATGCCCATACTGAAGCACAATATACAATATAAGGATAAACTAAGCCATAATGAAGGGTATGTAAAGAAGTAACAGGAAGGCAAAAGATTGATTTATATATTACTCCAATTGATTAAGAAATTTTCCTTGCAACATTAGCAATATGATGTTTCCATGTAAGATTTTCATCAAGGATCACACCCAAGAATATAGTATCCCTCACCCGCTCAATGGCGCAATTGCTTATTTCTAGTTTAATATCAAGGTTTTGCCTTTTCTGCCTGGGCTTGAAAACCATAAATTTTGACTTTAAATAATTTATTGATAACTTATCAACTTGTCAGTTTCAAAAGCTCCTCATTCAAAGTCTTTTCAAGAAAGTCAACATTTTTATGAGAAAAGAATATAAGAATATGCAGGCCCGTAGAAAGCATAAAATGACTGGGGGGGAGGGGCTGAGCGAGTGGCCCACATTAACTCCCCCACCCGCTTCGGTCCCACGGTTAAAGCATACTTCTTGGTACATGTCAGATCACTAGATTTGTCTACAACACCTTTTGTTCTCGTCTCTAATTTTCCGTCGTTTGTGTTGACTTCGACGAAATAGAGAACTTGTCTGGGATATCGTTCGCGGAAAATTTGCCAAACAATTGCTTCCAGGCTCTGTGTCACCAGTGCATGGTTTTACCCACGATAAAAGTGTTCTCTGCTTATTTTCGACTTGTTTAGACTTCTTTTTCGACGGGCTCTAGCGAAGACATTGTAAGACTTTCAATATAAACGCGCAAAAACCTAGGCTCTAGTACAGTAGTATATTTTACACTGGCGGACCTCTAAGGAAACCGATAAAGTTCAAGAGGTCCAGTTCAGGGATTGTCATTGGTGCACTTCGATCCATTTTGCTTCTGACTATTTTGAT